CATATATTTTAAAAGATTACATAACTCAGTTAATAAGTTATTTCTATAAAATATTGACTTGCTTTGAATAAGAAACTCGCTATGAACAGCAGTGCCATTTTCAGGTGATCAGAACAAAGTAACAAATCACATCCTCTGCTACAGAAGTATTCAGTTCTAAAGATGCCCATTGATCTTGTTATATTAAGCTATAACACATAAATAAATTAATTTATATATCCCAGTAAATATATCTTCAACTATACAGGTGTTCATGTGTCTGGTTTTATAAAGTTAGAACATAGCATTGAACCACGTATCCCAGTAAATATATCTTCAACTATACAGGTGTTCGTGTGTCTGATTTAATGGAGTTAGAACATAGCATTGAACCACGTATCCCAATAAATATATCTTCAACTATACAGGTGTTCATGTGTCTGATTTAATAAAGTTACAACATAGTATTGAACCACGTATCCCAATAAATATATCTTCAACTATACAGGTGTTTGTGAGTCTGATTTAATGGAGTTAGAACATAGCATTGAACCACGTATCCCAGTAAATATATCTTCAACTATACAGGTGTTCATGTGTCTGATTTAATAAAGTTAGAACATAGGATTGAACCACGTATCCCAGTAAATATATCTTCAACTATACAGGTGTTCGTGAGTCTGATTTAATAAAGTTAGAACATAGCATTGAACCACGTATCCCAGTAAATATATCTTCAACTATACAGGTGTTCATGAGTCTGATTTAATAAAGTTAGAGCATAGCATTGAACCACGTATCCCAGTAAATATATCTTCAACTATACAGGTGTTCATGTGCCCATGGGCGTCCACAGAAATTATTTCAGATAGAGATAATTTTCCGGGGGGGGGGGGGGGGTTTAAATTCATGGGCACAAGCCTCCTGATGGGATTAAATAATTAGGAAGTTATTCAATGACCTACCTTCTCTGGGATTTAATGCTTACCTATGCATGGTCTCTTAATACCCCAAAATGCTTTAATCCAAGAGATAATTTCGAACATATCCCATAATGCCTTAAATGAACAATTTTTTTTTCAGCCTTGCAGCCATAGTTTTAAAGAGCATGTAGTCTTGGTACTTTTTGATCTGTTAATCACGCCTGTTGAACAAACGACTGTAGGCTTAACATTATGTATTATTTAATTAAATGTAGTACAAACAGTTAGTAGCTTTACCATTACAGACCAACCTTTCCACAACAAAACAAGGTGCCATAATAAATAATCTTTAATAAACATGAAATTGTTCAATAAATATTTGTGATGGAACCTATTAAATGACATGAAAATATTTCTCAGTGGATAACTTTGCATTTTATTACTAGAATTTCTTTTTCAAAAATGAGATATAAATTCTATAATGTTTATTTTCAAAGATGTTTTACAAAAGTGTTTTTCTTTCAACTAATAAAATTGGAAATGTTTTTGGTGACTTCTAATGCTCATCAACAAATAATAATTAGTTAATATGAAATTTAATGTGGACATTTGAACTGATTCAATACAAAGTATGCTGTTTTCTAAACTTGTACATTTGAAACTTCCCAATAAAACTTCATCTAGAAATATACAGAGATGGTATAAATTACTTTCATATTTTGTTGAAGCAAACACAGTAACAATAATGTACTGATTTCATACCACACCTTGTATACAAGAAATGATCAAACTGTTCACATGTACCAAAATGATCAAACTCTTAACATGCACTGACTTCATACCACACTATGTATATAAGAAATGATCAAACTCTTAACATGCACTGACTTCATACCACACTATGTATATAAGAAATGATCAAACTCTTAACATGCACTGACTTCATACCACACTATGTATATAAGAAATGATCAAACTCTTAACATGTACTGACTTCATACCACACTGTGTATATAAGAAATTATCATAATGTTCACATGTACTGACTTCATACCACACTGTGTATATAATAAATGATCAAAATGTTCACATGTACTGACTTCATACCACATTGTATATATAAGAAATGATCAAACTCTTAACATGCACTGACTTCATACCACACTGTGTATATAAGAAATGATCATAATGTTCACATGCACTGACTTCATACCACACTGTGTATATAAGAAATGATCAAAATGTTCACATGTACTGACTTCATACCACACTGTGTATATAAGAAATGATCATAATGTTCACATGTACTGACTTCATACCACACTGTGTATATAAGAAATGATCAAAATGTTCACATGTACTGACTTCATACCACACTGTGTATATAAGAAATGATCAAAATGTTCACATGTACTGACTTCATAGCACACTGTGTATGTAAGAAATGATCATAATGTTCACATGCACTGACTTCATACCACACTATGTATATGAAAATTCATGAAACAGTAACTAATAAAACAAAGATGATTAATCTTACAGCAGTTGAATCTTTTGTTATGATGATTGCTTCAAATGAGGTACGTGATTAACAACACAAGGATTGAAATTTTCAAAACAGTAATATTTGTATCATACAAACCTTTATTTTGTTCTTTGGAATGTAATGGTTAAACATTTAGGTTGGTTTCCCATGATACATCTTGTGTGCCCACATGTTATAAGGCCATTCAAACCAATACACATATTGCATTATTCCTATTTTTAAAACATGCTTCTAAACCTGAGATCATATCATATCCAAATACGGTAATTATGAATGTACCAGTAAATTAAAGTTGACTTTTGTAATAGTTACTTTGTTAGGAACAGTGAGCAAATGTGAAATTGAGCTACTTAATAAAAACCTGAAGAAAATTCATTTTAAATCTTTCAAAAATGATTAGGTAACATATTATAGTGAACACAATGGCTGTAAGTTCAGCTGTCATTATAATAAAAATCTGTCCACTTCATCAATTTTATATCATCCATTACCAAACACTTCACATAGGAACTCAGCACATGACTGGATAGTAAAATAAGAAGACTAACAACACTCTGGCAATAAAAGCAATTACTTCAACTCATAACACTATCTCAAAAGAAAAACAAACAGCAAGCACTGAAACACACTTTAACTAAGATTTAAAGATTTTGGTTTCACAAGGCACTGAAGAAAATCGTTCTTTAAACACAATCAAAACAATTTTCAATTCACCCCTAGGTTTAAACACAAATGATGCAATAAAAGTTCAATCAAAATTTTAGCTACAGAACAATTTGCAAAATATGTTGTCCTCAAATTGTATAACAGCAAACACTTCCAAACGTTATTTAAATTACACTTTCTAAAGTCTATGAACTTAACTGATAATTTGTTACTAAAATAAAATACAACTGTAGTGTCATACTTTCATTGAAAATTCATGCACAGTAAGGAATGAGCATCAAGTGAATGTATGGGAAGTGTGGTATGACAAACTAATGTGTGAAGTGTCACATATTACTTCAAACATGACTTCTTGTACATCAACAATTAGTTAACACATGTTCTGAGAAAAATGGATTCACTATTGATTGTATTTTACTTGAAGAGTATAAAGTGCCAACTATCACACAAAAAAAATTAATGTTTCACACATTTTTATGAAGCATTTGCATGACACATCAGTAAAATCAAATGGCTATAGAAAGGAGTTAAGTTTTATAGATTGATTAGAAAACAGCTGGAGAAAGAATTGTGGATTTCACACATTATTTATGTAATAAACGATGAAATGAATGGGTTATGTGTCACAAATTACTTAAAGTAGTAGCTGGAGAAAAGAATGGGTCATGCATGTGTCACAAATAAACTAAAACAATGGCAGGAAAAAAAAATTGTTTCCACATTTGCTAAAACTATGGCTATAAAAATTATCTAAGTAAGAAACAAATATCCAATAACTGGAGTAAGGAATGTTTGATACACATTAGTTGAAAGAGTAGTTTAACAAAGGTATAAACTTGGTTTATAAATGTATGAACTTTAACACTAGAGTTTTCAGCAAAAAATTAGTTGCCTTCATACACTAAGAAGAACAGTAGTCACTTGAACAAGGAGTATGTTGTATGCCACTCAATAACTGTGTTTCAAACACTATCTGGAAGAATAAGTTGCATGTCACAAACTAAGGATAACAGTCACTTGAACAAGGAGTATATTGTATGTCACAAACATGTACATCTTAATATTGACTGAAATTGCACACTATCAAAGTAAGAGAAGAAATAACATGTTTTGTTTCACCAACTATTTGACAGTTATCAGAATATGAGAGAATAGCATGTTTTGTTTCCTACACATATACCGATACAAACTATCTCAAACAATCCATTTCTTTAACAAAGTTCTCCATCTGTAATAAATACCTTTTCGTTCCTCACAATATTTCCAGAAATGGATTTTCTTTAACAAAGTTCTCCATCTGTAATAAATACCTTTTCTTATCATAATTTTTTGGAAATTTGGCTTCATTGTTAAGATATAAATCTCACACAAAATGAATATTGTATTTTTGGTAAATCTTTATATAGATTTTGGTAACATTTTTCAGTGGTTGCTAAAATAAAGTATGATATTTCTTAATTTTGCCATTCATTTAAATAATATTCATTTGGTGTATATAATAGGTCTGTCACAGTAATTCAGGTTTATATAGATTGAGTTTTATTTTTTTCATATATTTTCTGTAACCAAAGTGTAGACGTCATGTCTGATATAATTATCAAAAATATGACTTTCATGTGACAGTATCTACTTAATAATCCAGAAAAGCGATTGGTTAAGGTTCAAATAATGATATTTCCAGAAGTCACTGTATGTTTGGGGCAGATTCCTCCTCATTCTGAGGTTTTCTTACATAGATTAAACACACTTTGCTTAGGAGAATATCAGAGTATGTTTGGGCAGATTCCTCCTTGTTCTGAGGTTTTCTTACATAGATTGTCATACTTTTTACTATTTAGTGTAGATTAAATGTAAGATGTATAATTTGTAAATTCATTATAAAATTCTCCTAAATAAAGTGTTTAAGATAGGAAAGAAATTTTTAATGGTAGTTGGATTAGCTTTTCTAAACCTTTAGTTCCAGACTATATAGAGAAATTTTACTATCAGTTAGATTAAATATTAAACCTTATATTTCAATGTGGCTGTTTTAAACCTGTATAGTTAAATCTTGCTATTAGCTGGATTAATTACCAGACTAGAACCTTTTAACCTGTATAGTGAAATCTTATATAAACTTAAATCAAGCTAGATATTGGGTAAGTTTGACCTATACAACAATGCCTGATTGACAGTCTGGTCTAAATTTACCCAAATTATGATTGATCTGTCTCTCATTAAGCTTTTCTCTAGAGTAATTTAACTGATTTATGGAAGGATATGAAGTTTTGGAATAGCATATATTCTATGTTTAAGATTAGGATTCCCTATAGGTGTCACAGCCCTCAGATGAACTTTATAGTTTAATTCTTGTGACCAGCAGTAATAATGGGCAAACTTGACACTTAGATCACAGCTGACCAGCATATAGTTTAGTTCTTGGGACCAGTAGTAATAATGGATAAACTTGACCTTCAGATCATAGCTGACCAACATAAAGTTTAGTTCATAGGACCAGTAGTAATAATGGATAAACTTGACCTTCAGATCACAGCTGACCAACATGGAAAGTTTAGTTCTTAGGACCAGTAGTAATAATGGATAAACTTGACCTTGACCTTCAGATCATAACTGACCAGCATAAAGTATATTTCTTGGGATCATTAGTAATAATGAATAAACTTGACTTCCAGATCATAGCTGACCAGCATAGAGAGTTCCCAGTAGTAATAATGGATAAACGGGACCTTCAGATCATGGCTGACCAGCATAAAGAGTAATTCTTGTGACCAGTGGTAATAGATCAACTTGACCTTCAGATCATAGCTGATCAGCATGGAGTTTACTTCTTACAATCAATAGTAATAATGGACCAACTTAAAGGGGTGGAAAGTAGTGGCTTCAAAACTCAACATTAGTTATGTCTAGTCTGAAAACTAAAGTGATCCACAAACTAAACTAGATGAGTAAGTTAACTTAGACAATTCAGTATGACTATCTCTAGCTCCTGGTCATGTGTGGTAGGATTAAGATTAAAGTTTAAAAAGAAGATAAAAATGAATATAAAGATACGTCAAACTGATTGTGTGTATTTTAAAATATCTGAAGAATTGAACTTTAACTGAACCAAACTGAGTATCTGAATATGTGAAAGTATTATGTGTGTTTATGTGAGAAATAATTCAAGAGTTAGAACTTGAAGATAAATCACAATGCCTCATGCAAAATTTCTTGTCAATTTTTTTTAAAACAGAAAAGTAATAAAAGGTAAAGAACAAGACTGTTTGACCACAACATTGCACATTCTAGCTCTCATTATCAAAAAATATAAAACTGTACATGTATATAACTATGTCAGAGTTAGAATAGTACAAATAAGATTTATCTCTATATAAATGTTTACCAAGATAAAAATACATAGCTAACTTTCTCATTTTGTACTATAGGGATTTAAAATACATATACATAAGAAATGAACACAACATAAAATAACTATTTCTTAATTTTTAAGGCCCCTTAAGGAGCAGTTCATAGTAAAGTGTCCATATATTCACAATGGCTAATATGTAGTATCCATAATACAACCAATAAACTTATTTTTCTGAAGTGTTAGCCATCACACTAAGTACCCTATAACAACAAGATTTTGACAAACAAAAATTAAAACATTTTTGTACAACAAGGTTCATTGAGGAACAATAAAACAAATGTTTTGTACAATCAGCACAGGATTTGAGTAACACATGCATTAGCGATCCCGTAAAATTAATGCTACAGGTTTAGAGGGTACAATAACGAAGGCACAAATCAGGTCAACGTCTTCTCCACTGTGCTCCAGACGAAAGTTGTATACAATCTAGTGAAAAAAAAGAAAGAAAGAACCATTACATCTGGAGCTAAGGCTACTTGCCAAGTTTGTTTAAGGTGTTTAATAGGGAAGTTTGACAGCATACCAACAAAACATCATGAATAATTCTCCATTAATAATACAAAATCAATACTACAACCAAAGTATTAACCCTATTACTGCGGGTATCCTTTAATGCACATGGCACAAGGTTTTAGTGTCTTATATTCAAAATTTTATTAAACTACTTTTTGTTTATGTTTTACCAATTAGTATAGCATAAATTTTAGCTAATAATCCATATTTTTAAAAATCCTGAATTTCCCCTAGTGTGACACATGTGATGCATTTTCTCTAGGCATCTTCTCTTCCTTTTTTTTATCCACCACCCCTCCAAAAAGTACGAAATTAAACAAATTATTCACTATAAGATCATCATTGCTCAGACAAACCATAATTTTTATAGCCTTCAATTTTGTTTGGTTACAGAGCTATCAAATAGAGAATCAGACCCCTTCTGCTACACCCACCTGTCATAATATCTCTTTCAGGATTTGTTAATAGGTTTCTCTTACGTTTAATTATACATTACCTATAACCAATAGAAAGCCAAGGTTTTCATCTATCAAATGATGTATTCTATAATTTTGTGTTCTGAACAGATAATCTTCAATTTCACTCAAAGTACAAGCTCCATTCCCATGGATGTTAATTGTAATGTTAATTGGAAGACCGCAAAATTCTGTGAAAATATACACACTATACTGAAAGTTAGGAGTATTAAGTCTATAAAGACTAGTCAAGTACAAAGAGGTCACATGGCCGGTCAAATTGATAGAGCCCGTGTTCAGGGAATTAAACTACAGATAAAAAACTTAAAGCAATACTTTCACTATCCAAGTGCCATCTTCTATCACAGCAACATATGGGATTCTGAATCCCAAACCAGTTTATAATCATGATGCATTTCTCACTCTGCTACAATCACTCAATATGTTGCTATAACTTTTAAACACAACTGATGTGCCCTATGTATTTGTAATTTTTAAACATCACTTATAAGGTCTTACAGTTAAAGCCATTAGAAATTACCTATTAGTCTTAATGAGTGAAAGATTTTACAGTTAAATAAGTTTAGTCATGAACTAGCCTTTGCAAGTGTAGTGTACATCTCCATCTCTGCCAGCCTTCTACCTGCACACATTCGAAACCCATATCCAAATGGTAGCATAATAAAAGGATGAATCTGTTTCCTCAATGCACCCATCCATCTCTCAGGATAAAATTTATGTGGATTGGGAAAATATTGGGGAAGCTGACAAGTTACCATGAACTGTGTGAAGATAGGAGTCTAAGAAAAAAAGAAACTTAATCAGGAAAAATGTACCCACAAAAGAATGAAAAAATGTTCCAAGCACATAATGTAACTTCAAAAACTTAATTACAAAAATAAACCAGAGTAATGTTTAGATATAGTAAATATATAAAAATACCACACTAATCATATACAAAAATACAAAATTTGAGGATCACATTAAAATCATGCAATAATTTGCAACAATAAATGAAGAACATGGTACAATTGTGTGAAAACATGCAACAATACATGAATAACATGGTACAATCGAGTGACAAACTAAATGGTGATCTGAAATATATCAACAATCAAGACCGTGTACTGAAATGCATCAACAATCGAGACCATGGACTGAATGCATCAACAATCGAGACCGTGGACTGAAATGTATCAACAATCTAGACCGTGGACTGAAATGCATCAACAATCAAGACCGTAGACTGAGATGTATCAACAACCTAGACCGTAGAGTGAACTATATCAACAACCTAGACCGTAGAGTGGACTATATCAACAACCTAGACCGTAGACTGAAATGTATCAACAACCTAGACCGTAGACTGAACTATATCAACAATCGAGACCGTGGACTGAAATGTATCAACAACCTAGACCGTAGAATGAAGTATATCAACAACCTAGACCATAGACTGAACTATATCAACAACCTAGACCATAGACTGAACTATATCAACAACCTAGACTGTAGGCTGAACTATATCAACAATCTAGACCGTAGACTGAACTATATCAACAACCTAGACTGTAGACTGAAGTATATCAACAACCAAGACTGTAGACTGAACTATATCAACAAAACTACATCAACATACTAGAGAGTAGCTCGAACTACATCAACAAACTAGAGGGTAGCTCGAACTACATCAACAAACTAGAGGGTAGCCTGAACTACATCAACAAACTAGAGGGTAGCCCGAACTACATCAACAAACTAGAGGGTAGCCTGAACTACATCAACAAACTAGAGGGTAGCCGGAACTACATCAACAAACTAGAGGGTAGCCCGAACTACATCAACAAACTAGATGGTAGCCCGAACTATATCAACAAACTAGATGGTAGCCCGAACTATATCAACAAACTAGAGGGTAGCCCAAACTATATCAACAAACTAGAGGGTAGCCCAAACTATATCAACAAACTAGAAAGTAGACTGAACTATATCAACAAACTAGACCTACAAACAAAATGGACAGTAACATGAACTTTTTCAACAAACTGGACAGTAATATGAGCTATAACAACAAATTGGACAGTAATGTGAGCTATAACAACAAACTAGACTGTAGCCTGAACTACATCAACAAACTAGAGGTAATGTGAGCTATATCGACAAACAAAACTGTAACACGAGCTATGTCAACTAACTACACAGTAACCTAAACAATATCGTCAAACTAGATCATAGCCTGAACTATATTTCATCAAACTAGATGCTAACATAAGTTATATCAACAATATAGACTATGATACAAGCTATATAACATAACAATGTTTTGGGGCAACATAGGACGTATTGGTCCATCTCGGCTGTTCCATCCTCTAAACTAAATTAAAATAATTTACAAAATAATAGCCAGGCTTTATCATTTATATACTTATCAAGTTTTTTCTTAAACTCACTTAAATTTACTGCCTCCACAATATCTGAAGGCAACCCATTCCAAAGGTCAATCACCCTGTTAGAAAAATGAAATTGTCTCAGCTGAAGATGACTCCTACCTTGCCAAAATTTATATTTGTGTCCCCTAGTCCTACTATTCTCACTATTTAAATATATAAAATAAATGATGCATCAACACTATCAATTCCCTTTAGAATCTTAAACACTTCAATCTGATCCCCCCTAACTCTTCTTTTTTTCAAGAGAAAACAATTTGAGAGATTTCAGCCTTTCCTCATATGACAACCCGTCCATCCCAGGCATCATTCTAGTAACCCTTCTCTGAACCCTTTCCAACAATTCAATGTCTTTCTTAAAGTAAGGAGCCCGTAACTGAACACAATATTCAAAATGTGGCCTAACCAGTGACCTGTACAATGAAAGTATAACCTCTTTAGACTTGTATTCAATATTTCTGTAGATACAACCTAAATTCGTCTTTGCGCTACCACTAGCAACAGCATACTGCTTGAATGGCTTTAGAGACTGATCAACCATTACACCAAGATCCCTTTCTTTCATAACAGTGTTAACACTATTCCCATCCAAATTATACTTATGATTCAAATTAGGACATTAATCCAGTTTGACTGAACTCCATCTTTAACAACCCTCTGCTTTCTTCCATCCAGCCACTCTTCTGTCCAATTTGCTAACTTATCTCCCACACCTATAGGGATAACTTTTTTTTTTACAAGCCTGTTATGTGAAACTAGACCATAATACCTGCTG